TGGTGGAACTGAGGTATGGTGTTGGTGAGTTCGGCTTTGTTAGTGTCAGGGAAACTAAAACTCCTAAATACTTCAGCTGGGAAGAAACAATTAGGCCACTATTGAATACAGAAAAAATATTGATTTGGTGGAATTGAGGTATGGTGTTGGTGAGTTTGGCTTTGTTAGTGTCAGGGAAACTGCCCTTGTTGTGATCAAAGCTGAACTTGAACCAACTTCAGTTCACTTCTGCCTCAGACTTAACTTCTCCCTGATACTGTTCTGATATTCTAGTAATGACTTCTGTAGACCAGCCTGCAGTCAGCAGTTGAGGACAGCTAGGTCACCCAATATCACAGTCTGTTCTATTAAAAGTCTGAAAGTAAGGTATTCCAAGTAGAAGCTGCTGTTATCAAGTACTGCCTTTAAATTTATTTGGGGGAGCCTAAATTTCTGCTTCTACAGACAACTAGCACAAGTGCATCTCTTTATGCCCCAGACAGAGATATGGGACCTCTCACAGATTTCAAGTGCATGATTGAAATTCCCAGCTCCATGGATTTTCAGGCCAGAGAGGCTTGTTGCATTGATCTGATGAGAGCTAATGCATAGCACAGATCAGGAAACCATCTATTCCTGCTTCAAGTCCAGCATCTGAAGCTGAACTAGGATCTTGGTCTTTAGAAAAAAACACTGCAGGGCAAGATGAAGTTTAATTGCCTTTCAGGAGAAAAACTTAGTAGAGCTTTGGGTGGCTTGTTCCAATTAGTAACTTCATCCAGTGGTCAAACAGGCCTAGTATTTCTACATGTAATCTACCTACAGCTTACAACTATTAGTTTCCAATGAGCTTTTTATAACCCAGACTGTAAAATCCTCTGTTATCACATGCCTATCCTCTCTATCATATTTACAGACTACAATTAAGCTATGTCTTAGCTTTCTCTTTAATAAACTAATTCCCCTGAGTCTTATAAAACACATCCTCTGATTGTTTTCTTACTCTCTCAGATACTTTTTAAATTGTGCGCAATTTCGAAACTTTTTTCCTTGGATTTATGGAATTCAAGGAAATACCTTAACCAGAAATGCTGCATTTCATCAGCTTTTGCAACAAACAATGACAGCTATTACATGACTTTCTGCAGCTAAAGAGGGAAAGCAGAAAAAAGGAAGAAGTCACAGAATGGAAGGGAATGAAGAACGAATAGCTTAAAAAGAGACAAAAGAACAACTGAAAGAAAATGGAAAGGGAAGGAAATACTCTAAAGTAGGAAGAGAGATAAACACCTACTGAAGTAGAAGATCAGGACGAAGGAAGAGATGATGAAGAGATCACGCAAAGCAGTAGTTATTTACAAGTATGCTTCCATAAGTGATCCCGTCAGTTCCAAGAGGAAGTGACACTAAATTCTCCAACCTATCCTTCCCCTCAATTATTTCAAGCAACCAAGGCTTTCCAATAGCAACTGCTGCAAGACCTTCAGTGGTTAAGAACACAGAGAATTGTGTGCAGAATTCTTTGGAAGCAGAGCTCATTAGCCTCCCCAAAACCCACCACCTGTGATACAACTGAGCTCCACAGCAGTGGGACTGCTTTTCTTCCCATCCCCTACCCTGGAAATACCTGCCTTGCTTCAAGGCCAGCACCGGAGGTCACTGGAAGAAACAAAAGGCACACTGGCACAAAGCACACATATGGAGCTCTGGGCTCCAGTCATCAGGCCTGGGACATCTGTGGCTTCCTGAGGATGCCTGCATGTTCAAGTAATTAGACCAAGGCCAGCTGTCCCCTTCTCATTCTTCACCCTTTATGCTCCCATTGCTTCTACTACCACTGCCTGTCCAAACAATGATTTGTCTGATGGATCACCAACGAGTAGGTTTTTTGTTTTTATTCTTTGGAAGGCGGGAGTGGAAGAGAACTGCTGAGGCAGTAAAGAGGAGAAAGGACTCTTCTGACTGTATGCCATGAGACACCTCAGTTTTCCAAATGAGCTTTTGCCATACTATGCTTTAACCTTTATATTCTGAAGTCAAACTCCAAATGCTTGTATTGGTACTGAAGATGCAACCATCAGTAGTGAACCTTGCTGCTCAGGAAACGTTACTGCTTTATAGACAACTTTGGTATTCTGGGCCTAATTTCCCTGTCAGCGGTGCAGATGTAATTCAAGGAACTTAATGAACTATATTTCAATCTCAAGACGCTCCCTGTAGCACACTGCTTTCTGAAATCTTTCCTGCCAATTTGAGCTAGAGCAAGCCAGAAGTACTGTGGGACAAAGATCTCCACATCAGCGGGGTTTCCGCTGAAGAAACCCAGTGAAGCTTTTACCAGTTGAGGGAAGGCAGGAGTGAGAACAGAACCAACCCTTTTCCCTCAACTGTGAAATTACATATGTAGCTTTGCCCCAAAGCCAGGATCCCAGACAGGTCTAAGCTGGAGGCAGAGAAGGAACACTGCTCCCCAGCCTGCATTTAGCAGTCAGGGCATGACAAAGCAAAAGGCTGTGTGTGCACTGAGCAGCCCCATCCCTTGACAGGGCAGGCAGTGCCTGGATGAGACATTCACTGCAGCCTGTGCTGCATTGTGCCTGCCCGTGTATCATCTCCATAGCAGCAGTTCTGCTAATTGAGACCAGCTGCTACAATTCCAAATTCTTCTCTCCAGAAATATCGATACTACAACGTTATGATTAGAAAGCACTTTACCAAATGCCTCTCAATTCTGCACAGCTCAGATGAAGAGCAGCTGCAGAGAGAAGGGGCAGTTCCCTGAATATACAGAATAAAACACTGCAAAAACACTGGAGAAATGAAGGCTACAAGAAGCAAGTCACAACAGAATAATGATGACAAAGAAAGCAGCCTGCTGTATATGCTTCTGCCTGTCACTTCAGATGTTGAAAGCACTGTGAGCAGACTTTTTCCTTATGCTCTAGGATAAATGGCCATAGCACTGCACTGTTACAGCTTCGTGTGGCAGGTGTGCATGTGTGTCAGATCCAGCTTTTCTGTCCAAGGAGGGATTAAAACGAAATCCATCAATCTGGGCCTGGCTTGGAAGAGTAGCTGTGGTCTTGAATCATTTGGCTCTGGGTGCTGCTCTGCATGGCCCATTGGCAAACAAAGTCACTGGAACCAATAAGCTGGTGGGAAGACTTGCAAAGTAGGAATGCCACCACACCACAATGACTTGGCCTATCTCCCTGTGGCTGCTGGCTCCACACAGCAAGCTGGATGCTTCACAGTGGCCACATTGGGATTGCCAAAAGCTGCAAGCACTTTTCCCCTCCAAGCCAGACTGGATTAAACTGGCTATCAGTATTCTAAATTCACATAGAAGTCTCAGAGCCTGTCTGTGACCACCAGGCACAGGGCATTCCTGAAAAGACATCTGGTTACTGAATTTATGTAAGAACTGGGAAAACCACTTCAATCCCATCTGTTATTCCAACCTCCTGAGTACAGAACAGAATCTTTGAAAGAGAAAACCTCACAAAGAAGGGTCTGAAAATGAGAACTATGATACAATGTGTAATTTCCTCCTGAAAAAGATGCTGTACAATCTTACAGAAAAGTAGCACGCTCCAGCATGCGGCTGTGTAAACAAGGGCCTAACACACCATTTCACTACTCAGATTTCATACTACAACCGAGGTAATGCAACACAGCTAAAGCAGAGAGATTGCTTTGCCATGCTAAGTGATCTGCCTCTTACTCTGAAAATCAGTGAGGTAAATGAAGTGTTTTATATAAATACCAGACAGTTTCTCTCACCAAACAGAATGTTCAAGTTTTTAAAAAATATTTGTATTATTTTGCTCTGGAATATATTCAGTGCTTAGTGTCCCATTCAGATTTTACCATTTATACAGTTCTCTTACCTATTTCACATTCTAACTTTTGGTCTACATTAGAAGTCTGCTTAAATCCACAGTACTACAGGAGAGGGAATGCATCAATGAAATCCCAAAAAGGTAGAGTCTGGATGTGTTACAATTGAGTATAAACTTCCAGAATCCTTGTCAGAAAAAAAAGTAAACTTACATTTTTTTTGGTGTAACATTTACTGACTGCATATTAGCTTCCACTCCATTTTCTTTCTGCTCTGAGTAAGGTTGCTACACTTACTTGTGCTGGGAAACGGCTGACATAGAAGTCCTTATGGGAAACAGGAGTGTAAAGATGAGCTTATATAGAAAAGCTCTGTGCTTATATAGGGAAGTCACCTCAATAAAGTGCTCAACACTGCATGCAAACATGTTAGCGTAACTCGCAGGTGACAGTGTGACGGAATTCTGTTGATTGCATTGCAGTTGTGTTCCTTCCCATCAAGCTGAATTTAGCCTCTCTAGTCACCAAATCACATGAATAAACTGCTATGCATACATTTATTTTATTTTTAGGTTTCCAAGATCAATCAATGACATTCATGTGAGGAGAATCACAAGGCTAGGTAAAAAACAAACTAAGCTCTTCTGAACACTAACAGTCATTGGGATCATCGGGACAAACGCTCTGAGGGTTTTCAATGGCACAGCTCTGTGGATTGTAAACTGAATTACAACAGCTTTAAGCAGTCATGGACCTTGGCACATCAGTTACCATAGAGAACCCATGCAGCAGAGCAAGCAGTAGGACTATTCAAGTAAGGGATCCACCAGCCCCCATTAAATCTGTTCTTACTGACATTTGTACACCTCAGCCTGCAGTCTACCACGATGACACTGTTGTTGTAGTGCTGAAAGTCAGGTGCCCAACATACACTGGCCCCAGCAGAGAAGCACCAACTCTGCAGCTGACTGTTTATTTTGTGCAAAGCACAAGCATTCTCCCATTTCATTTCAGCTGCCCTCACCTCCCCCATAACTAAATTATTGTTATTATGCTCTGCATAATCCTAGTACTGACAGGGATGTTTGTTATACATAATTAAAGATATTAATTTTGCATGGAACAGAAGACACGGAGTCAGGAACTTAATCTTTTTTTTAAATCTTCCATTAGAAAATTACCTTCATTAGCACCGACTCACTGAGCTTCTCTCTGTTGACAATTTTTATCGCGACCTTCTGACACGTGACACAGTGAACCCCCAACTTCACAAGCCCTGCAGGAGAAACAAAGCAAAATAGAAAGGAAGAATTAGTTAGAGGTTGAGGTTGTTTGTCAAGGGTTTCCTTTTAGAACACCATCCAGCTGTTGACAGCTTATATGCAAACAAATTCCCATTAGTACCTCCTCCAGCCAGAAAAGGTCTTGTGAGTAAAGCAAATCCTTTAGCCTACATTGTGACCATTTAGCAGTGAAGTCATCAACACTGTTGATGCTCCTGTAGCTTCTGCCACTAAAACTGTGGTTTTGTTGAAGCACTGCGGCCCAGCTCTCACCACTCAAAGTGTGTTCTACCAGTAAGAAGTTCTGGCAATTGAACCACACTGGACTAAGAGCTTTCCTGACATGAACAAAAGTTTGGAAATCAGCACAACTAGATGGTCAAATGTTTGCTTCTACATTTCTCTAGCTCCTTCCGAAGCTTCCATGATCACAATAAAAAGACACTTAATAATGGCTTCCCTTACTGTTTTAATTTACCCTGCTGGATAAAGTTAATACTGTGAATAACGCCATTGTGGTGTACAGGAACATCAGCATACGCTGCTACAATTCTAAGCTTTTGTTTGTTATTACTTACTAAGTTCTTGTCCTCAAAAAAGATAGAGTGCTGTTAACTGATTATACTGGCAAAAGGATGTTGATATCCCTGACAGGATTAGGATGTTTAAACTATCATCAAAATATGGAACACCAAGACTTAAAAGAAAGAGGTAAGTAACATACATGAGCCATTACCCTCTGCAAAATTTCCATCTAGGTCTGGTGACTTACATGAAGGTACATTGAAATACCTCCCACAGGTGAGTTTAAGATGGTCCCTTGACCATCTACTGCCATTTAGAAAATTTGTAGCTGGAAAAGTTGTACTTCACAGGTTATTGAAGTGAGATCTTGTTTGCTTCAGGTTTTACTCTTGTCTAACATGCACATACAGCACACCACCTGATGGGCTGGATACTATCCCACTCCACACACTACATGCCAAATTGCCATTTAGGTTAATTCAGTTATAACGGAACTAAAAAAGAAATGGCACCTCTCTGGTGTCACTACAACCTGCTGTGTTTTGCAGGCCATTTACAATCAAACAGTAGAAAAAAGACTTAGTTCCCAGCTCCGAGGATAGGCTGCAGTTAAGAAGCCAACCCCATCCCCTAATGCAAAGCCAAACACGTTGCTTTATGTGGGATTTGAACACAACAGCTTTTCAGTCCAGTGAAACACTGAACACAGGACTTCACACACCTCACTAAGGGGCAAATAGATTCTTGCCTTACGACAAACTGGGCCCAATTAAGTGAACTAGAGTTTCATCAGAGATTTCAGCAATCTTCTGCAGGTACCTGTCCATCCTTTTGCTATGCAGTTAAACTTAAATTTGGAATTATTAATCACTGGTTATTGTGTGGATAAATAAACTCCCAACTTGCTTCCAGTCACATCTCTTTTATGGCATGCTCAAGTGTTCTGGATATTTCTAGTCACATAATTTCTCAGTCTCATGTAGTTAAATGCTGACATCCTCACTTTCAGCCACGACATAAACAAGTCACAAAAATTAAGAACACAGTGCACTGACAAATCCATTTGAAGCTGTGTATAGCAATAGCATGTCCACTGCCTGAAGCACTTGAGAAGCAGAGCTGCGGCAAGGTGCTGTCCATCCACACTCACTCTTCTGTCTGCATTTTTTCTATTCAATTTGTTATATTAACCAAAGCATCTCTGGCTCTATGTTCACTGTTCAAAGCACCTGCAGCCTTACTTATGCTTCTTCCCTTTGGCTCTGTTGTGTGTTTGGATAGAGGCTACTTGGCACCACCCTGTTGAAAGCGTGCACTGTTTCAATCTGTGCCGATTGCTTCCTTCCTGCTTCTAGGACAAACCACAACCTTACATCACTCTTGCAGCACAATGACAGCACTTTTTACATTGCTCTTCGTTACACTTTCAAATCTCAGCAGAACTTCTAAATCAGTCCTTTATATCTAGACTCCCAAGATCTGTGGCACCGTGTTGTACTGTGATGTGGCATGGACCAGTTATTTTCAGAGGTCAATAAGGGTGAGAAACAACTGCTCTCTACCTGGTTCTTCACCAGTGATATACCAGACATATCTCACACTTCAGAATTTGATTTCAAATCTTGTTGCTCCCAAATCAAGACATCTGTCTTGACTGAATGTGGCTGATTTGTAAATTATTTTTCTTTTGTCCTCCCTAAAGTACTCTGTCATTGAGCCTGAGAAGAGTTTAGCCATGAACTTCTGGGGCACTGTCATCCTGCACAGGGTATCTTCACAGTGTCCTCTGTCCTTGTAGTTATTAACCTACCACAGAAACTCAAAAATTAAGATTAAGCTACTCCAATAAAAAGTTAACTAACTGTTAGAAGACACCAAACACTTTGCAAAAATAAATCTGGTTCTGAATTACACTGATTTTACATTGAATTAATTTCATTGACCTCAAGAAGTCATTCTTGATTTATGCTATGGTATCAAAGGACAGAATGAGAAAACATATGTGAGATTTAATGCATCTTTCCTCATCTCCTGATTTGCATTTTAAAAATCAAGAAAAGAAATGCACTGTCATTGCTGTCTGTTTTGTGGAGATAGAAATTTTAGACAACCCTCTGAGCAGCCCAAGACAGGACTTTTCACTGTACTAAATTCACTGAATGTAATTTTAGGATAAAAAAATAAAACACGTCACTATGCTGCTTCCTCCCTTCTCTCTTGACCACTTCCTTTTGACATTTGCATGCCATCCTAAGCAGAAAAAAGAAAAAAAAAGAAAAAAAAAAAGAAAAAAAGTCCCTCTTGGCAAGTCCATCTGTAGGATAACACCCTCCTCTCCTGCTACTATGAAGAAAGCCTAATTGAGCTGAGGCAGAAAGGGTTTGTCCTCAGGACTTCTGTTTCTGTCCTGTAATTTCAGTCTATTGTGGAACTACACAACTGAGATGAGATGACTTAAATGTGGATTTGAGATCCTGTGGGCTTCTGATTCCTAAGGAGCCCTTTTTCACTGACACAGAGAACACAAACCATTCAAATGTATTATTTATCCACATAATAACAGACCTTAGAGAAAAGCAACTATGTGAATAAAGTGCTAGGCTGTAACTGAAATAATGGAAGTGGCAGAAATGCGTGCTTGGAAACAAGTGCCCAAGATGTGCACTTGTTTCAGAGTTGTGGAAGAGGTGTTGCATCTTCCATTTTTTCCTCTTCTGTATATGCAGCTGTTAATGAGCACTTCAAAACTATATAAATCCTCCTTCAGTACAGATGGGTCAATAAGTTAGGTACTTATTTGTAAAGCTTATCTACGCAGTCAGGCCAGCACAGGTACTTGTGTCTTCTGCAAAGGAAAAACAAACACGGCTGCTGCTGCGAGGATATTTTGCACTGGCTTGGCTCACAGCAAGTCTGCCAGGCAACAAATAGATCTTGAACTTGTCTGCTTCATGAGTAATTAACCCCTCAAATGCAGGCAAGTAACCTTTGTGACTGCTAAAGTTAACTCTGGTCTGTCCTGACAGAAAATCTAAGATGCTGTGGGAATCAACTGCTTGAAGTTTCCCTCAACCACCCACACAGCTGTCACACACTCACTGCTTCAGGCACACCTCAGATCTCCATCTCGAGGTCATTCCTGGGGACTCTGGACACTGACATCCTGGGGCTTTACAATCAGTTGTTGCATCCAATGAACTGCAAACATTGGGCTGCTTTTGATCTTAGCCACTGAACTGCATCAGAACCAGCCCTATAATTGCAGGCTGGGGAGTAAAGGAGAAAACATGAACACAGTGGAAAGCAAGGGGATGTGTAAGTTAACACTGTCCTTTCATCATAATTAAAAGCCACAATTTGGAAACCAATGAGCATGAGAAACCCCAGATGACATGAAGATGCCACTGAAGGAAGAAGAGCAAAGGGAAGTGTGCAGGTCAGACACAGCCCAGTGCAGCAGTGACCTGCTAATAATCACGCCTGTGCATTTTTTTGCTGGCAAGCTCCCACTCTGTGGATGCTTGCAGATACACAGATAGTTTTTGAGAAGGACAGGAGCTTATGTGATGAACAAGGGACAGATTTAAATCAGCTGGGAAGGTGCACAGCCCATCCTGAAGCAGTACAGAGAGAAGATTCTTCTTTTATCCCGGAAAAATGTTCTGTGGGGATGGAGAAACGAAAGCTTCCCTCCAGCTGAGTCAAAATATTCACTGTGAATCCATGACCACAACAAGTGGCCGATATTGTAACTGGCCTTTTTAGACCTTCAGGCCTTTTCAGCCAAGGACGAGATTTCAGAAGAGACTAATTTACTTTTGCCTAGCATTTTGTGTAGCAATTTTCTCTAGCAGAGATGAATAAAGCATTAAGAGTTTGGAGCTAGTGCTATTTGATGTGCACTTTACAGTTGTATAAATGGTAGCATCTTTCTAATGATCCTCTTACTACTCTTCGTTAGAGAAAGAAACATTCTAGGAACAAGAAAGAATGTTTTCAGTACTATCCAAACCTGAAGTCTGGCAAAGACACTGATCTGAAACAAATTATCATTTTGAGCCAGAAAGAGAGAGTAATAAATAAATAAATAATGAAACACAACTGTTGTTTAAATACAGCACTTAGGGTATATTCACTGTCGATGATGTTCCCAGTCTTTCAGAAATGCTAAACACAGGTAACTTGTTATCCTGATTTTTAACCATGAGGCAAATAACTACTCAAAAAAATAAAGGTACATTTATTATAGTTAACACATATGATTTCTCCCATTGACAAATGGAAGTCTGTTGCTTTCTTTTAAAATAAAACCAAACTAAAATAAATTTCTGTAGTAGGAAAAATAGACACTGATTTCAGATGATCATCTGCACACACATGTTGCTTGCTCTTCACTTCAGAGCACGTTGTCAGAAACCTTAAAAAATCCAAGCGGAAAGCCCTGATCTGGCCAGAAGTGTCTATTTTG